GCCCTAGGCCACTAGCAGCTGAAAAGAGGCTTTATCTTTTCCCCATTGTGTGGCTTTGGTAGATTACAGTTCTTTCATTAAGTGACATGCCATGCTTCAGAGATGTAATGCTGACAGGCTTGAAAGGAGTGAGTTAGAAGTCACTTGATCACTCAGGAAGTGGCCTGGGGTGGTCAGGAGCTCCCTTTGTGCTGTGCACTGTAGCAGCTAGAGCAATACCTGGTTTGTGGGAGCCAGTATTCCTGCTTGTAGAAAGAGTGACACATAAACTCCAGGCATTGCAGGCCAGGGGCGGGTGTCCACCCTGTACCCCTCCCTCCTTCCCTCTGCCCCTCCCTTCCCTTCCTCCTTCATTCCTTCCTTTCCTTCCTCCTTTTTCTGCAAGCATTCACTGAGTCTGTCCATCATAGCTGCTGGGCTGGGCACCTGAGATGGACTTCAACCCTAGGATTGCCAACGTCCCCAGCTCTGTTAACCAGTCCCAGAGAAAGAACTTGGAGGACATTTTCTTACTCCCTCCTTACTGGTGGCAGGCTGGGGTACAGTGGAGGACCATGCATCCCTCCAAATAGAGGAGTACACAGGATAGATCACATGCCCACTGCAAGGTGGAGGTCTTCCGATGCTTTATGAGTATGTTCTCTTCTTTTAGAACCAAGGTCACTCTGTTTATGTCCTCACCAGAGATTGGAGTGAAGTTCTTCACAGCATGAAGAGAATGGGGGAAAATCTTTACCACCAGCACCTCAGATAGAGCAGTGATCTCCAGGATATATAGAAAACTCAAAAACCTTAACACCAAAATAATCATCATCATCATCATCATCATCATCCAATCAATAAATGGCCATAGAACTGAATAGATACTTCACAGAAGAAATATGATCAGTCAACAAATATTTGAAAAAATGTTCAACACCTCTAGCAATTAGAGAAGTGCAAATTAAAACTACACTGAGATTTCATCTCACTCTAATCAGAATGGCAATTATCAAAAATACAGTAACAGTAAATGTTGGCGAGGACGTGGGGGAAAAGTATACATTGCTGGTGGGACTGCAAATTGGTGCAACCAGTTTGGAAAGCCATATGGAGATTCCTCAGAAGCCTGGAGTGGAACCACCATTTGACCCAGCTATCCCACTCCTCAGCCTATACCCAAAGGACTTACAATCAGCACACTACAGTGACACAGCCACATCAAAGTTAATAGCAGCTCAAGTCACAATAGCTAAGCTATGGAGCCAACCCCCGGTTGCTGTCAGTAGAAGCCGTCCATTGGAGCTAGCAGCCGAGTGGCCACTGGGAGCAGAGCAAGAGGAGCCTCAGGGTTGGGGCTCAGGATGGCTCATTTCAGACCCTGGCAAGCCGAGGACTGAGCGGGGGCGGGCAGAGACTGAGGACCACCCCCAGGCTACCTTGGCAACTTAGCCAGACCCGTCTCAAAATAAAATGCAAGAAGCACAGCTGGGAAAGAGCTGGACATGGGTGGAAGTGTTGGACCCTGGGTGGTACAGAGCTTCAGAAGCCAGGGTGGTGGGCTCCAGGGGGCTCCGGGCATGATATTCCCTACACAAGAGGCTTTGCTTTTATTTATTCATGTATTTATTGACTCATTCATTCCTTAATTTTTTTCCAACAAATATTTACTAAGGGCTCCCCATGTGTCCCGCCCTATATCAGGAGCTGGAAGTCCTTGGCGAGGACAGTGTAACTGCTTCTGCTCCAACAGGGGTTCTAGTGGGGGGAGGAGTGGGCCTCGGCTGCAGATTCACATCACTGTACTTACAGTCCGAGGCACGTTCTCTGAAGGACAAAGAATGTCACCATGAAAAAGCTTGTAAATAAGAACCTGCCCTGGTTCTGAATGTGGTGTCAGGAGAGACTCACATGGTCAGGTCATGGGAACCGAGACCCAGAGGAGGACCAGGGAAACAGGTTGCACAACGTGATGACATGTGCAAAGGCCCTGTAGTGGGTAAGCGTGTGTACAGTCAAAGTGAGGGTAAGTTCACACATGGCGTGTGGCCAGGAGACAGGTGCCCAGTCATCCATAAGATTAGCAGGGGAAGACACCAGGTCCCTCCTGATGGTGAATATACTGTCTGAATCCCGTGAGAACTCAAGGGGAACTCAGGCAGCAGGATACACCCTATTCCCAGCAGGAATAATCTTAAACCTTAAACCTGGAACCTAAACTGGGAACGCCCTAAACACGATTATCTTAAAACTGGGAACACCCTAATCTGCCTTGGTCCTTGAGCAAGGTCACCTACATTCAATGTCACTGCAACATGTCAGCAACATGGGGTACGCTGGCAAGGAAATTGTCATACCTACTTGGCTAATGGCTCCCAGCATCTCCCCCCTTCTGATTAATTAAACAACAAGCAATGTGGCTTAAGGACCGTGCCTGGTAGGTTGCCCAATTCAACATATGGTTCTTACCCGTCATCAGAAAACTGACCTTTAGGCGTCAGCCTCCTGTCTTAGGTTGATACCACTGCAATTGAATCATACCCGTCACTGACTACCGGTCCAGCATACAGCCATACTTGTGGATAGGTCTATGCACCAGTGGGGGGGTGAGGTTCTTTGCCTCACCTCTGTTGGCCCCCAAATTTGGCCTTGGTGCCAGTGGGGGAGTGAGGTTAATGTGGCTTATGGACCGTGCCTGGTATGTTGTCCAATTCAACATATGGTTCTTACCCGTCATCGGAAAACTGACCTTTAGGCGTCAGCCTCCTGTCTTAGGTTGATACCACTGCAATTGGATCATACCCGTCACTGACTACCGGTCCAGCATAAGCCATTGGCCCCCAAATTTTAGACCATCACTAGCAGAAGGGAGGAGGATACAGAAATGCCACGACACCAAGCCAATTGACGGCTCCTTGGGAAAAATTGCATCACTGGTGACACCATCAGCAAAGATATGCCAGCACTACCACAATTAACATGGGGTGCGCTGGCAAGGAAATAAAAATTGGATGGTGAAGAGTTGTGCTCTTCAGCATGAAGGGATGACAAAGAGCCACCAGCAGAAAGCAAGTTTTCCCACAGAGCTGGGGTTGAACTGTGCCCTGAATCACCCGTCACTGTTAACTTCAGAGATCCAGAGCCTGAAGCGTCAGAAGATGGTTCTCAGCTTTGGAGAAGCCAGGCATTTGCAGAAGGCCACGGGCCCTCGTCAACTTGCATCCACTGGGAGCTCTGGGGCCACAGGGGGAGAGAGAGAGCACCTGTCTGCAGTCCCAACCAGCCCCCTCCAGTGTTCCCTGCCCGCAGTGGGACTCAGGCTCTTGATCAGAGGTTGCAGAGCACATGGGGAGTAAGCGAGTGGAAATTAATTCTGGGAAGGCCCATCCCAGGTCAGTTAACTGCTGGATTTGATGCAGCTACAGGAGAAGTGTGCACGGCAGCCTTCCTCAGAAGAGCCCATAAGAGCAGCCAGGAGGAGCACAGCAGGAGCTCCCCGGCCGCTTCCCCTGCCCCTTCCGCCTCCCAGGACTGCAGACCTCCCTGATGCGTTCCGTCCAAGCAGTGGGGCCGGGACTCTCTTCTGCTGTCAAAATTGGGGCTCATGTTGTATGCCAGCTGCTCTCCAATGCCATGACACTCTTTTTTCCTCCCTGAAAAATTCTTCGTGTCTTCTTCCTGCGTCCTGTCTATGCCAAATCTGAGAAGGACGCTAGATGTATGACGGTTACGTGAGTGCTGGCAGGTCCGGCCAGCTAGCCAAGGGGGGTCCCCGAGACCTAACAGTAATGACAACAGTGTTTGGAACGGGGCTGAGAGCTCCGTGCTCTGGGTCTGCCTGGCCAGCTCCGCGTCCAGCTTCATCTCAGCCCAGCTGGGTGACCTTGGCCTGTTGGTCGGCTGAAGCCTAGCTGTCTGGGCTGCCACAGCAGGGCTCACGAGAGCAGGTCTTTCTAACAGCCATGAGAGCTCAGCGAGGCACTGCACACAGAGCACTGAGCCCAGCCGCCAGCACAGTGGAGTCCCAGCACCCTCAGCGCTTCTCTGCTGCCTGGGACCGGGCGCTGGGAGTGGCAGGAATAGTGAACCCCCCCCCAGCTCAGCCCAGCCCCTTCCACATCCCGCACATTCGTGTCTGTCCCCATGGGGTCAGGGGGCCAACCTTCTCTCTGGGACAGAAGAGCTGTATGGCTAGAGCTCCCCCCATCCCTGCCATCCCAGAAGAGATTGCCCAGGAGCCGGGTGGAGGGGCCAAGAAGGAGAAGTGAGCTTACCTCGCCTGGGGGCCAAGAAGGGAACCTGGGCTCAGGACTGAGCTGGGCTGGGGATGCCCTGCCCAGTTGCTGTGCACCTTGTCAGCCATGTTCCCTGGGGTGAGGTCGTAGGGTGCTCTGAGGGGCCAGAGGCACAGGGTGTGGGAGGGCCACGGGGCCGGAGAGGCTCTAGAGCTCCAATGCCACTCGGATCAGAGCCCAGAGACTCACAGCAAGCACAACAGATTTGCAGAATAAATCTTTGCCTTTCAGCAGAGAGAATCAGCCGATCACAAGTGTAGATAGCAGAATACTTTTCTATAAATCAATCTTATTTTCATTGGGCCTTACAGGCTAATTCCTGAAATTTAATTGCTTGTGGTTAATTGATTTATCAATATTTATTGAACATTCGGTTTTAGCTCAACACCCATTCAGCCCTGGGATGGGCGAGACCAGAAACATTAGATGTGGTTTTTTTGATCTGCTAACAAAATCCACGGCAGAATCAATGCTGGCTGATTACAGCTTTTCTCCTTTCCTCCCTCCCTCCTGGAAACCACCAGATACTTATCTTTTATTCATTGATTGAGTTAACTCAGGAGAAAGTGGAAATATATATTCATTACATGTTCTTTCTTGGGGGAAAGGAGAGAGTCTATGGGTGTTCCTGTTGTTTTTTTTTTTTTAAATAATGTATATTATTGATGATAATATATCTGGCAAATAAAAATATTAAACTGGGGTTGGTCTCTATTTATTTTCCAGATCCACAGCCGGGTTTTCTCATCCCCTAAAGATCAATCTTCCCGGGAAAGAGGTGAAAGTCTTCTGAACGCAGGTAAAGAGCTGGGCTCTGCTGGGGCCCCCATTGTCCTCTTCTCTCTCTATTTTTATTAATAATGAAATGTACTTTGGAGCCTGGGTCCTTTCCAAACATGAGATGATAGCTCAGTGGCACCACAAGGTTTGAAATGGTTTACCTTTCCACCCTGGCTGTAGACCAGCGTCCACAGGGAAGCAGACGATGGGTGAGGACTGTCAGTTCCTCGGGCGGTACCTGGGACACTCCTGACAGGGGCGCGGGGGTCAGGTGGGCCCAGGCAGGCTCCTCCTGGAGCCGGCAGTTCCAGGGGTGAGTGTGGGGTGAGTGTGGCTTCTCCCAGCACAGTGGACTTTTTTGCAATTGGGGCATGGTGGCTGTGCGTTCATAAATCAGTTTTTATGAAGCTTCAATTCATAGCTATTAAATTGTAAAAACACTAGGTGAGATGGTTACGGTTCATAACTTTTATTAAGTTTGTTAACATAAGTTATGTGAAAACAAGCTCCCTCCGTCCCCTTTTTATTAGAAGTCACATGGATTCGGGTCAAATGTTCTGATGGTACTGTGGACTACTGGATTAATAGAATGTTCAAAAAACTGCAAAAATCAATTCTAAAAGAATGTTTTAGTGTGGCTAATTTTAGTTTTTATCCTCATTTTGATTCTTGCATGTGGCAGATGAGTTGTAGATGAAAAATAGCTATATATGTTTGGGTATATATATATATGTGTGTGTACATATTGTATGTGTGTATACATATACATTTGTATGCACACGCACATTTACATTTATATCTTTTCATTACCTGCCACCACCTGCCTATATCAAAGATGTTGGGAAACTGAATTTCTTTCCATAACTGGCTTAGTCAACTGAAGACAAAAATATTTGAAAGAAACTTTCCTATTTAATCCTCCCTGGAAGCCCCAAGTGTGGTTTGTAGCTTAGTCTTTTAGGGTGGCAGGTATTTAGTGTGGACCCTTTGAAATCCTAGCCCCCCACTGTCTGTGGCAGGAGTGTGGCTGCACTGGGCTACTTCCCTGGCACAGCAAAAGCAGCCCTGGAAGCCTGTCTGGCTCTGCACCCTGCAGGGAGCCTGGGGACCAGGAGAGAGTGATGAGTTTTCCTAGAACAATCAAGGGGGCTGCAAGAGCAATCAGACCTGGTGACTGAGATGAGGCCACGTTGCTCCTCTTTATCTCAGGACTGGGCCACATCAAATTGGCCTTGGGCACCTGCACAGTGGGTGCTGCTCCAGGGGAGATCAGCAAGTTAATCACTCAGGAGCCAAGTCCGTGCTGTTCCAGGCTAGGGTTAGTGACCCAGAGTACAGGAAGTGTGCCCAAGCAACCCTGGGTGGGGAGGGAGAAAAGTTTCCTGGCATTTTAAAAAAAACCTGCCAGTGTTGTCCAGTGGAAAGCTGTCCTGAACCCCGGGTGTTCCTGGGCAAGGCAAGGAGCCCTACTGCATGGCACCATGCTTTCCCTGGGGTGGACTTTCCACGGAGCCCTCTTGTGCCTAGGGCATCTTCCTCTAGGGTTGTTTCTCCTATTAGAAGTTGCTCTGGCACTTGTTAAGAGACAAGACAGATTTTATTCGTGTTGTTACAGCAGGGAAGAGACACTTGCATAGGGAGCTGCGCTCAACTCTTGATACAGTAAAGGCGGCTGGCATGTGTAGCTACAGGGCAGGGGAGGCACCCAGTGGATGGACATTACTAAGAAGATCTTGCTAGCTAAGGTGCGGGGCTTAACAAGGCTGGGGGAATGCTCCCTAAGCCGAGTTGGCAGGAGTCTGGATAGAACTGGGCTCAATGGAACTCTTCGCTGTTACTGGACTCAGCAATCTAAGGCAAGGCCCAGCAAAGAAGAGGGCCCAGAGGAGCAGGACTGAAGCAGAGATGGAGGAGTCCTGCCTCACCTCTTCTAGAGCATGGGTCAGAGCAGCCTCCTGGGCCTCTGTGCCTGTGGTGGCCCAGCTTTCTCCCCATAAAAGCACAAGGACTTTGCATTAGGAATCTGGTCTGCCATCTCAGTCTGTTTCTGGCTGCACCGGGACACCACATCCTGGCACATTACAAACAATGGGGTTCGTTTGGTGCAGTTCTGGAGCTGGGGACATCCACAGTGGAGGAGCTGCCCATGGTGAGAGCCTTCTTGTGCCTCATAACCTGGTAGAAGCCATCACGTGGTGCGACTGCACAAGGTGGGGAGAGAGAGGGAGAGAGGCCAAACTCAAAAGAGCTTTTGTTAGGAACCCACTCCTGCCATAACTGTCTCACCCCTGCGGGGGCAGCACTGATCCTCTCACGAGGGTGGAGCCTGGTGAACTGACACCTCTTGGAGGTTCCGCCTCTCCATGCGGCTCAGAGGCAGTCCACTTTCTGCACAGCCCTGGAGGGGCACAAACCAAGGCATTCCTCTCCCACGCTTGTGAACAGGCACAGGACGAGGTCTGGCTCAGCCTCCTTGGGACTTGGGGAAACCCGGAGCAGAGTTTAGGTCAAATCCTGGGTGTCAAGGACCAGAAACCCATTATCACAGACAAAAGGGAAGTTGTCAGGAAACCAGTAAATGTCGAGGGAGGAAGATCCGCTGGATGCAGACGTGGAGGAACCAGAACCTCAGCAGCAAGAGCATGGACCTTCATCTTGAGCTGCTTCATCCTGACATTGTCACCTCTGGTCAGGAGACAAGGCCAATAGTGGGCGCGTGGCTTCCGTGGACCCAGCATGTGGATGACTGCCTGGGAGGGCAGCTCCCCCACAAGGGCACCAAGGGCCAGGCCCTTGTCCCCGAAGGAGTGAGTAGGCTTAGGGTGTCTCAAGGTCAGCGGGCGCTGCAGCCGTCATTCCTGCAGCTACGTTGCCATGCTGATGTTTGAAACCCTCCTCCTCCTCTTGAATGGGCTGATATGTGCGTGGCAAGCCCCAGGGTGGAAGGCGAACTGTTTTAAGGAAGCCCCCGGGCTGCTCACGCAGCTGGTGGTGTTAGGAAGCTTTCAGTGGGTGGGAGCCCAAGTAAATTAGTGGTGTTATTTATTTATTTCCCATCTGTATTTACTGAGTAGGCTAAGAGGGACCATTAACTATTTTAAGGTGTTGGAATGCATGACCTGATTCAAGCAGGGGAGGACAGGGGTCCAGCCAGGACCGGGACTGTGGTGGACAGTCAGAGCCCCAGGAAGTGACCTAATTACCTACCAGCTGTTGGGATAAGGGACAAGTTAAAAATGTTCAATGATGGGGCAGGGAATGCAGGCTGTAGGGGTGATGGGGTAAAGGGGGGTGCTAGTGGGTGGTCTGGAATGTGTGGGGTTCAGCTGCTTCCTGTGAGAGGGCAATGGCCCCTGCTCCAGATGTGCAGGAGGTGGTTGGATCTGGTGAAGAGGCTGGGAGACAGGTAGGTTTGGAGGTCTGGATATGATGGTCATGTACAGGTGGGTGGTCTGAGGAACCACAGGTCAGCTGAGGTGACCACAGGAGAGGACACACGAGCTGGGAAGAGGGTGAGGCTCAAAACCTGAAGGGGCCCACATGCGTGGCGTGGGAGGAAGAGTCTTGTCCTGGGAACCACTGACCTCGCCTGGACTTGGTTGTCACGTCGAGGTGTCTTCAGTGCCACTGTGGACTTCACCGTTGGTCAGGTTTTCTTTAGGACTGTTCTTCCACTTCTCGTCCCTCAGTTTTCCTGGACACAGAGAGGGCTCAGGATTCTTGGTCTCCGTGGGGCAGTAGGCTCTGTTGGAGGGGCTGCAGCAGTGGGGTCCAGGGTCCAAATAGCATGCGCTGTGCTCAGGCAGGAGTCTGCAGAAAATGCCATCTCCAGGTTTTGGTTTTACTTCCTCCATTTGTACCATGCGACCATTTGCTGCCTTAGTCCTTGGAATTTCCAGACTGGGCAGGGTGGGGAGCTGATTTCTTATGGTTGAACAGCCCTCTTGGCGAGGCCTTTGAAATCTGTTGGCTTGTGTAAAATTTCAGTTTACTATGATTAATAGGATCTGCATGCCGAGGAACACTAAGGGAGAAAAAAAATCTAGGAAAGATGACTATTTCTACCCAAACTCACATCTGTTTTTAAAATCAGAGGAAGGTAGAAAGTCCCTTTCAAATTCCGATTCTACACTTTATAAAAAGATTCTGTTTGCCTTTCCCACACCACTGTGCTACCTGTCTGCAGAGTAGACTGCTGGATGCTGGACTCGGGGTGATTTGTGAGTCAGGTGCCTCACTGGGTCCACATCCAGGGAAACAGGTGAGCAGAAATGCAGGTCATGGGGATTGATGAAGGCCTCTTGGAATTTTTAATTACTGACTTGCTTGGCTCAGGAGGGGAGTGGGACAGCATGAAATTTTCTTCCTCCTGATCAGTTAAGCCCGACCTTTACAGATGGCAGTTTTTCAAGGGTGGGCCTTTGATGGATGGGAGGGATAACGTAATCACATTTCATTTACATCCTGGATGACGGCTCCCTTATTCCGGCTTTCACAAGAGCAGGCTTCGCTGACCCCTAGCAATCGTTTCGTTTGGTTGCTGTTGAATCAGTTATTTTTTCCAATACAACACGCGCCCCTGGTCCTGCTATGAGGACCTGGAAGCAGAGCACCTGGCCTGACGGTGAGCAGAGCCGCGTCCCTCTTCCAGAAGTGGCTTGGGAATGCGGTTTCTCTCTAGAGGAGAAGAGGAGGGACGCGCGTCCGCTGGCCCTCCCTAAAGCCTGGCTTTTATGAAGGCTCAGGTGCTGGAGCTGAAGCACGTGGATTTATCGTTTTTTCATACCGAGGCCGTTTGATGGCTCTCCTTGCTGCCCAGGGGAGAATGCATCTCCTGAGCAGTTTAGGACAGTGTCTTTAGTCAGTGCAGCTTCTCTGGTCCGAGGTCACAGCCGTCCTCAGAGGCTGAAGCAGAAGCTCCCGGGCACAGCATGCCTCAGGCCTGTGCTTCTAGACTTCTCTCTGATCTCGCTGCCTCCCCTCCGTGGGCTCTCTCCTTGTCCAGAGGCTCCTCTGTCT